CAGGAGATGTAGGAGACATGGGTTCGATCCCTTGTCTGGGAAGATCACCTGGAGAAAGAAATAGCAACCCACTCCAGTATTCTTGCCTGGAAAATTCCATGGACGAAGGAGCCTGGTGAGCTACAGTCCATGGGGTTGCAAAGAGCTGGACATGACTGAGCACACACAGCACAACAGAGCACCACCATATATAAAATAGATAGTCAGTAAAAATACTCTGTATGACTCAGGGAACTTAAACCAGGGCTCTGTAGCAAACTAGAGGAGTGGGGTGGGGTGGGAGGTGGGAGGGGGGTCCATGATAGAGGGGACATATGTATATCTACGGCTGATTCATGTTGATGTATGGCAGAAACCAACATAATATTGCAAAGCAATTATCTTTCAATTAAAAATAAAGTTTAAAAAGCTCAGCATTCAAAAAAAAAACATGGTAGAGATTTTTCTTTGAGGTTTTTTATATTCATTTTCTTTAGGAACTTGGGACTAGTGTCTCAGGACTGCATTGGAAGACACTACATTGCATTAGGCTTACGTCTTGCATCCATTTAATATTTTGGACTTGGTACTTACTATCAGACCCTGAATATGCTTGACACACAATAATTCATAATTTTCCCAAAGCCTGCATTTGCTTCCCACCTTCTGTGAGCCTGCCCACTATGACCATCACTCCACTGTCTGCAATCACTTAGCCTATGCATGAATGCAGCCATCTTGTCCCCATCATATAGGTAGTCACTATCAGGAAGTATGGAGAAGTAAATGGCAACCCACTCCAGTGTTCTTGCCTGGAGAATCCCAAGGATGGAGGAGCCTGGCGGGCTGCCGTCTATGGGGTCGCACAGAGTCGGACACGACTGAAGCGACTTAGTAGCAGCAGCAGCATCAAGAAGTATGGGCTTCTCAGATGGCGCTAGTGGTAAGGAATCTAACCGCCAACCCAAGAGACATGGGTTCGATCCCTGGGTCGGGAAGATCCCCTGGTGGGGGAAATGGCAACCTGCTCCAGTATTCTTGCCTGGAGAATTCCATGGAGAGAGGAGCCTGACAGGCGACAGTTCATGGGGTCCAAAAGACTTGGACACCACTAGGGACAGGGCACGCATACATGCATCAAGAAGTATACAGGCTAGAGTGGTTTTCATAAGTTCAGAACCTTCTTGGGATAAAATATCCTGGGTCTAAAAGATTGCACTAAATCATAGTCTTCATAGGCAAGAAGTCTGAGTGTTCATAGCCCAAGTCCCTTTATTTAATTTTATCCTATATCAGAGTGTATTTGCTGCTTGTTTGGGCTACTGTCAGTGTGACTTTAGTCATATAATTTTTGGTACAAGAAACATATTCTTGAGGACAAGTTGTAAGCTGTCATATCCTCATTATTTCTTGAAGGCACAATCATGTCTTAATAAAAACTGAAGTCCAGATCTTCTGCTTTCGCATACATTTAGCTGCTATCTGACATCTATTTTGCCCTTACTTGTTAATAGTATCCCAATTTTTATTCAGGTAACCTCCCCTCTTGTGAACAGATGTTGGGTTTTTAGGGATGCTCTATGGGTGAGGCATATATAGTTTTAGTTTGAGATAATGTGCCTTATTTTATTACCTGGCCACAAACTGTTCAGGGATGAAGTAAGTAAGTAACTTAATTTAGTCTATAGTCTGGGTAATGGTCTGGGTGAGTGGTAAGTGAGACAAGAAGCTTTAGGATTCTAGGAATCCCATAGAGAACATCTTGGGCTCCTGGAGACTCTCCATCATCTTATGTGCTCACAAAAGTCTTCCCACTGCCCCAAGAACTGCCGCTCTATCTTCTCCTTTCTTCTCCTTCTCCTTTCCCTCGCTCCCCTACTCTCTCCCCTCCTTTCTTTCCTGTTACTCTCCGTTCCTTCCTCTCCTGTCCTCTCTCCTCCCCTTCTCTTCCTCCTCCTCCTCCTATCCCTCTTCCTTCCCTCAAATCCAATGTATGGAGTAAACCATAATCTTACTATATAATCCCCACCCTTTATATTCCAAAACCTTCCTATTCCCCAGTCTTCTCAAACTTTGCCCAAGCTAAAACCCTCACTCAGCAATCTATACTGAACTTGCTGAACTGGAAAAGCCTGCATCTTCTTCTATGCTTCCATTTTCCCTCACACCCGACTTCCCTGTTTCTTAATGTGGTAGCCTTGCGACCTGATGTATATTGATGGAATGCTCAGCACATGTTTGGCTAGAGCCATTTTTTTTTTTTTTAACTCCTACCACAGCCTTGACCTTGAGGATATTCATATTTCCTCTTTGTACAAAAATCTGAACTTCTTAATTGAGCTTCTGGAACATAGTTAGCATGCTTTAGGATAAACATTCTAATTGTGCTGTTCTATCCCTGGAATAAATAAACTACAGATTTTCCTGATTATAAAAGAAAGAGAAAAAGGAAAAAAAATCATTTGGGGACAAATGTTTTCTGAAATGCTTTGTGCCAACAACCGGGAATCAGGAAAATAAGAAGGATACATGCAACTTTCAAGTCCTTGATAATTTTTTATTTTAAAATTCATGGTCTTAAAGATGTCAGGAATAAGTGAGAGAGAAAGAAACAAGTGATCTCTCCTCTGAGCTAGGAAGTCTTAAAAGTTATCTACATGTATATTTTGGAAGTTGGGAGTAGGTTTTCACCCTGGCTGAAAAAGACTGCAATAATTTCCCCCAATTCAGGAAATGAATATTCATTGATACTACTCATTTTGGTATAAATTAAGCCACAAAATAATTCTTTTGTATCACTGCAATATATATATATATATGTATATATATATGTATACATATATATATGTATATACACACACACGTGTGTGTGCAAACACATACCAATTACTCCACCAAAGTCATTTAGCAGCTGAAATATCTCCCTTCCACTACATATGTTCCATTCCTAACTCTCCTTTCTGTATAGAATGAACCTTCAAACCAGCTGATAGTTGATTAAATGTTGACACTGCTTTTTGAGCAAGCTGAAAATTATTGATTTATTTAAAAATAACCCTACTTCCCTGGTTTTCCTAGTAAATCATCATGTGCATAAGTAATGTAAGTGGATTACAGGAAACATTAGCACTAGCAATTGTTGTGCCAGTTACCAGAGCCGCAGCATGGTTAGAGTCTAGACCAAGAGAGGTTAGTGAAGGCGAATGCAGCAAAATTGCCTATTACCTCCATGTCATCATCACCCCAAAGAAAAAGCACAGCTTCTTCATGAATCTCTAAACCACAGATGGACTAAAAGTGAAATGACCTGCCAGAATTCCTCATTGATGCCTTTTATCCTCCATAATATTAAATTAACTCGACAGTACATGACATCAGAAGATAGAACAAACCTCTTGATCTGTAATTCATAGTGACTTTAAGAGTTGATAACAATGAGTATATGATGGTCACTAGAGGAAATATCTCTCCCGAGTCCGAGCATTAGCACAGGCATATAGAGATATAGCAACCTCATTAACATCATTTGTCTTCACTCAATAGACACAGTGCATAGCTTTTACCTTCAGAACATCTGTTACTCATATAAATGCAGAAAATTTGTCTGAGTTTTTCAAGCAGCAAAATGACCTACTTTTTTTTTTTTTTCTTAACAAAAGCTCATATTATGTTCTCAGTTTATGATTTTCTTTTGGTTACCAACATTCCTCCCAGATATTTCCCAACCGAAACAAGAGACTCCATTTCACTTGTAGATACCCCAAATGCTGGGTATTTCTAGATACTCGAAATGATGGCTGGATCATAATAAATATTAAGTGCATCCTAGTTGAAAACATCAATGAATGGATCTTTGATCCTCCATACTAAGCTGTCATATAAATGTGGTAGATAAAAAAGTAAAGAAAAGGAACAAAAGCTTATTAATTAAGCCTACATTAGGTTTATAGAGAGGTTGCCAAAATACAAACATGGTTTCATTGAATCGTCTTGCCTTAAAAGTCAACATATTTGGTTATGTTTGGAGACAGAAATGCAATCAACACTCATTTAGCTACTGCTTTGTAGTTTTAATGTGAATCCTCCTATTGTAATTTTAAACTTGAGAGGGACTGGAGTCCAAATGCTCTGTCAACCTTAGCATAAGTTTATGATACTTCCAGAAATTGGGAACCTCTGGTCTAGGCTACAAACCCTAAGAATGCAAACAATGGACCTACTACATCATCTTGATTAATAAAAGGTGATGCTTGTTCAGTGATATTAGGAATATAATCCATCAATTACTTCCCAACCATTTTATCTACTTCAGTTAGAAAACTCCCCTCCTTCAACATCACTTCTTCCCTTTCAGGGTCCCTTCATTTCTTACCATTTGAGTCAAGTGACCAGACGATCTTTAATAAATACATATATATATGGGCTTTCCTGTTGGCTCAGTGGTAGAATCCACCTGCCAGTGTATGAGATGCAGATTTGATCCCTAAGTTGGGAAGACCCCCTGGAGAAGGAAATAGCAATGCACTCCAGTATTGCCTAGAAAGTCCCATGGACAGAGCAGCCTGGCGGGCTACAGTCCAGGGGGTCGCAAAAGAGTCAGACATGACTTAACGACTAAGCAACAACAACAACAGTTTATATATATAAACTGAGACTTAGAGCTAATTATCACAGAAGGCAGGAGGCTTAGTTCAGGATATGATCCAAAACTGCAGGATATGAACCAACATAAGTAAAGACTTCCTAATACAATTTTTTGTTCAAATTATTAAGCACCTACTATGCACCTTGCATTGGGCTGTGCAGAGAAGACACAGACAGAGTTTCTTATTTTGTGGGCCTACATTCAAGAGGAACCAACAGATAATAATCGATTAACAAAAAGGAAACACCAGAGAATAAGAAATGCGACAGTAAATAGTCACTGAGATCCAATGATAACTCGTCACCATTAGTTTTCATTTGTTTGAAAGCATCAACCACAGAGGAAAGCAGCATCATCAGTTAAATGCAATACTTACCACCACAATCACATTTGCTGCTGGGACTGGGCGGTTTTCCACTTCAAGGTCTTGACCAGCCATGGCCAACAGGTTGAGAGATGTGTCATATGCAGGTTTAGGAAATGCTGAATTAACAATTTGGTGGTGTTTGCCTATTTGAGCTTCAGAAGAGGAATGGTAGTTATGTTTGTGTGTCTTTTGTAGAGATATATCCAGGCTCTTCTCAATGTCTTGTGAGTGGTGATAAATGAATGTTGGCGTCCCACTCTTCTTCTGACGAATTGCCAAAAAGTGATCATTATTTCTTGAAAGGCATCCTGAAAGGGGGAAGAAGCAGAAGCAAAAATCAAAGACCCTCTTCACTGAGCTGAATAGATTATCTGATAAAGAGAATTACCTGTTCTTAGAAAGCTTTAAGGCTTGTGAAGGATTTAGATCAGTTATTTTCCATTTTCATCCCTACTCCATTATCCCCAATAAAGAGAACACACTTGATGGTATGGAGGCATGTAGGAGGTTTGGGTGCACAGAAGTGGGTATAGTTTGAAAAAGTCCTATATTTCAGATATTCTAATGCATCTTTTAGTCAGAAATTTCCTCCTTTATCTAAATGCATGGTTCTAACACCTTGCTGAGCAACTCTTCCTGGATGCCCTACCTATTTCTCAAATGACAGCTCTTTATATCATACTCAAGCTTCCCTCCCTTTAATTAATAGCATTTCATACAATTTTTATTTCATACTTCTTTTATCCTGCTGATATTTTATAATCAACTGTGTAATTTTTAATACTTGTAGACTATTTGAAGCTAACTAAGGGCAGAAGTCTGAGTATACTTATTGTGGTAGCAACTCCCAGTTGAATAATAATAACCATTCTCCCCTTCTTACTTAGTAATATGGCCATCCAGATAAAATATACATTCTCTTTTATTTCATCTGTTAGGTAAATATCCATTGACTTGAATAGCTCTTTTATTCTTTTTATCATTGGCCACAGAAGGAAACAGATAACATATACATGTAAGTCAAAAGAATATCACTAGGTCACATGCCAATTAGAAAAGCAAACTTAAGATCTTCTATATAAGATGACAAGCAGATTGAACAGATCACAACGTAGTGATGCCATCCATGTTGTGCCTAGCAACCTAGGCACCACAGATTTTCCCTCAGGATGACTATGGCAACAATAAGCTATAAAAATGCTGTCCCCAGAAGATGACTTCCCTCTTTTTAGAAGAATTCTGGGGTGCCTTGAATTCTTACCAAATATTTATAGTAGGGAAATTGCTAGTTTTTATAGCTTTTCCTCCCACCAAGCCTCTGTGACCAGCATATATTTACAGTACTTTCAGTAATGTTATTTTACCAATATGCTCTCAACTCTCACTTAGGGATAAGAAGACAGGTTATTTTACTTCAGTAAGCTCAGCTGCATTCACCATGATGTAATTGTTTGGAAACCATTGGGTCCCAGTGACTTTAGGCTTTTAGACCATTCAAATCACAATTAAACTCCATGTGAATTCTGAGACAATAATAGAAACTAGTCCTCATGTCTTCAATCCTCAGTATGCTGAATAGACTAACTTTTTAGAAAAAGAAATCAAGTTAATTTAATTCACCAACAATGATGATCAGACAGTATGACCTTGAAATAACTGTAAACTTTGTTTCTCTGAATGAAGTAGGAATTCCTCAGATTTGGAAATGACACTGTCATTAGGAACATATATAAATAAATATGGCCCTTCACTGTTAAAATTCTTGCTGTGTTTTATTAATGGAGAATGATGATAAAATGTTTTAGAGATATATTAACTTTCTGACCACAAATGTTTGTTTAAATTTTACTCAAAGTGCTTTAATAAATTATATTGTAGTGTCATACTGTAGGGGTCCCCAGCCTCCAGGATCTAATACCTGATGATATAAAGTAGAGCTGATGTAACAATAACAGAAATAAAGTACACAATAAATGTAATGTACTTGAATCATCCCCAAACCATCCCCCATCAGGCCTGTCCATGGAAAAACTCTTCCACGAAACTGATCCCTGATGCCAAAAAAGCTGGGGGCCACTGTCCTACAGTTTTTCTATACTATAGGTGAACAGTTTCCTCCCTCCCCTGTTAGAGGACTGAGTCTGACATTGTAAAGAGCAACAATGGAGTGGTCACCTTAAGGTTAAGAAACAGAATGGAGATACTATTTTTACCTTAGCTGACTTTTTAAACATGCCTCACTTAAAGATGATCCCTTGTTTCAGAAAAGGCATAATGCACACTTGAATGAATTTAGGTTTCTCACCTGGGGGTTGGTTCTCCTACCAAAAAGAGGGATTATAACCCTATATAACAAGATAGTGCCATAGAGATAGACATGTTAATTAAAAAATTAACATGCAAAAAAGATTGGAAGTCCTTGCAAGATTTGGGAAGAGAAAAAAGAAAAAAAAAAAAAAAAACATGGTAGGGAATGGCGAACAGTTTCACCAAGAAAAAGAAGTAGCTCAGAAGATCAGAAAACGCAGATTTTTGAGAAGGGGAAAACTTAATGAAGAATTGAGAAATTGATCTTCAATCTTTCTTTTTATATGATATGAGGCTTCGCTGATGACTCCGTGGTAAAGAATGCACCTGCAATGCACAAGACACAGGAGATGCAGGTTCGATCCTGAGAAGGAAATGGCAATTCACTCCAGTATTCTTGCCTGAAAAATCCCATGGACAGAGGAGCCTGGCAGGCTTATGGTCCAAAGGGTAGCAAAGAGTTGGACACGACTCAGTGGCTAAACACGTGATATCAATCCCCCAAAAATAGAATAGGTGCGTCCAACTAATAAAGTCTCTTGTACAAAAATAGGCCTACAGAGAAAGATGAAAAAAAATCTAATTTTAAGTGCAGTTGAAACACAACTAGAATCTCCCAACCCTATCAGTTTTATATGTGAAAATACTCAGCCCTGCCTTGTCCCTGAGTAATAAGAACCAAGTTGGCATCACTATTAATTAGGAATCCCACCAAAGACATTAGGAAAGAAAAAGTTTTTCAAAGTGTTGTGCTTAGATCCCTGCATCAAAATTACCTGGGATATTAAGATTCAGATCTCCATATCTTAGCCTAGAACTACCATAGCAGACTCTCTGGAAAGGTAGCTTACAAATCTAGATTTCTAATCAAAATTTTCTCACATTCCAACTCTGAAGTTGAGGACCACTGAGTTAGTATTTGGGATAAGTTTTATTTTCTTGTCTTCAAATATTAACCTTTTTTTCATTTCAACATTATGAATATATTCAGGTAAACATTTTGGAAATTTTAAGATTCAGATGCCTATTAAAGATCAAAGTTCAGTTCGGTTCAGTTCAGTTGCTCAGTCGTGTCCGTCTCTTTGCGACCCCATCAATCGCAGCACGCCAGGCCTCCATGTCCATCACCAACTCCCGGAGTTTACTCAAACTCATGTCCATCAAGTCGGTGATGCCACCCAGCCATCTCATCCTCTGTCATCCCCTTCTCCTCCTGCCCCCAATCCCTCCCAGCATCAGGGTCTTTTCCAATGAGTCAACTCTTCGCATGAGGTGGCCAAAGTACTGGAGTTTCAGCTTCAGCATCAGTCCTTCCAATGAACACCCAGGACTGATCTCCTTTAGGATGGACTGGTTGGATCTCCTTGCAGTCCAAGGGACTCTCAAGAGTCTTCTCCAACACCACAGTTCAAAAACATCAATTTTTTGGCACTCAGCTTTCTTCACAGTCCAACTCTCACATCCACACATGACCACTGGAAAAACCATAGCCTTGACTAGACAGACCTTTATTGGCAAAGTAATGTCTCTGCTTTTTAATATGCTATCTAGGTTGGTCATAACTTTCCTTCCAAGGAGTAAGCATCTTTTAATTTCACGGTGGAGATATTTAATTAGAAATTTAATAAGTGTATGCTTCATGGTTGGAGAGAGACATATTTGTGACTCATCCAGCATGGATAAAATTTAAAGCCAAGTGACTGGAGATTCCTTGAGAAGAGAAGAGTAAACAGGACAGAGCTCATGGTAGAATTACAACATTTCGAGTCAAGAAGCTGGATGAAATAGAGCCAACATGACAAATGAGAAGGAATGGTAGTAAAGGAGGAGGAAAACCAAGGAAGAGTAGTTCCTAGCAGATTAAGGAAGAAAATGTTTTAGAACCTGTATGTATTATAAGGTCTTAGAAGCAACTGAAGAATCAATCTTATAGTGATGTCTCTAGAAACTTGAATATAAATGGAATTTCCATGTGTTTCCATGTAAGGTAAGTCCCACTGAAGACATATTTATAGTCTTAAAAAAATTACAAAGCACATGGGGATTCCTGCCATGGGAGATGGTCAGAAGATGAAGTGGGTAGATTCTTAATTAAGAAAGAACAAATGAAAGAGAAAATTGAAGGGGCCTTCAAAATAAGTTAATTAAAACATCCAAATAGAAGAGAAAATAAAAATAAGGGATTTGAGGGAAAGAGAACTGGCATGTTTCAATTCAAGTGAAAATCATAGAAATGAAAAATATCATAATTGAAGAAATGCAATGCGTGGATTAAACAGTAGACTAGACACCACTAAATAGAGAATTGGTAAATTGGAAAAGTTTAGGTAATAATTCAGAAAGCAGCACAGAGAAATTAAGAGAGGAAATAAGAAAAAGAAGGTCCCTTTGGGACTCTAAGACCCATACCTACTGGCATTCATGCTCATCAAGAGTGAGTAGACCTCACTTGTGATGGATTGTCCTTTCTGTGATTTGGCTAAAAAAAGATGACTTTTGTGCTGCTGGGAGACTGCTGTTGACTTTGATGAAGCAAGTTGTTGGAGAGGTCCCCGTGAAGAAGGAGGCTTCTAGCCAAAATCCAAGGAAGAACTGAGGCTCTCAGTTGCAACAACGACTAAGGAACTGAATCCTGTCAGCAATCATGCAAATAAGCTTGGAAGCAAATCTGTCCTCAGGTGAGCCTTCACCTAGGAGCCTAGCTCAGGCCAACACTTCAACTGAAGCCTAATGAGAGACTTTGAAGCAGAAGTCTCCAGTAAGCCATGGCCAAATTTCTGCCTCACAGAAACTGAGAAATACTAAATATGTATTGTTTTAATTTGCTAAATCTTATAGCAATTTGTTATGCAGTGATAGGAAACTAAGGCCAAGAGACTAAGTGATTTTTTTTGAGAATAACATGGTACATTGCAAAATACCTTTAATAGCATTTAAGAAATGAAACATTAGGAAATTGAACATTTTTTAAAATTTAAAGAAGGAAGTGATAATGTAAAAT